TCCCTTTCCCCACACACCTCTCTTCAGATAATCCTTCGCGATCGCCATCTTGCAAGGGACATCTTGTAAGGGACATCGCCTGAATGGCTCGTCATAGAAAAAAAACATTTTTTTTTTTTTTTTTCAGGCGAATATATATCCAGTGAGATACGTTTACTTACTTTAACTAAGAAGTGCGTTTTTCAATGCGACTTTTATCGCTCTTCTTTTCGCGTTTTGAAAATACAAGTCAAACCCCGAGCATATTAGACGAATATGACGAAAAGATTTGGAGTTGAATTTCTGATAAAAAAAATTCTTGAAGGACTAATGAAATGTTAGCAGCAATGTTAGCAGAAATGATTAGGCGTCCGCTTGTAATTCGCATGAATAGGTTTTTTCCGAGCGGTGTATAACGTTCAAGTCATATTTATGGACGAAAACGAGTTCAAAATGCAATACTGTGTGGTAATCGCAAAAAAACTTCGTCTTAACCCATTCTACGCAAAACCTATTCATGTCATTTGCGCATCATTTTCATTACACGCCTGCGGACGCCAGCGCTTCATTGTTCAAATGGAACTTTAAGAAGCTAAAAATTAATTGTTGGCAACGCTATTTTGTGCTATCTACTGCTCATTACAGCACTGTTGCTGGTTGTACAGCACAACACCAGTACATCGGATTTACCGATCCATTCATTCGTCATTTTCGCCCTTTACGTGATTCCTGCCGACGGTTTTTAACATTTCACATTGAAAATGAAAATTTAGTGAAACGGGCGTGAATTTTACTACTCGTTGCAGGAATAGTTATCCTCGCGGGTGTTGAGTATTCACACTCGGTGGAAAGACAGCGACGTGGTCATAGTCAACAAATTATTTTACACAAAAAGAGCAATGAATGCGGGGATAAGTATAGTTATGCTTACTGCTTAATAAGTTAAGGAATTTCTTATCACAAAACGGTTTACTTTAAAAAACAAAGTTTAGAGTAGAGTTTTAAAGAATATTCTATGCGATGATGAAAAGTTTTTATAAAAAATATACATAAAGAAAAAAAGTTTCAAAAAGCTGTTCAAGAAAATCCAACCAAAAATCTTTATTCTTGCTGTTGTTCTTGTTGTCGACTTTGTTTTTACGCTCCGTTAAAAACATTCCAAGTAATAGAAAATTGAAGATAAATCCGTGCCGTATAGTGTGTTTGGTTAATTAAAAACTAAAAGAATTTTTTTTTTGTTTTTTTTTTTTTTTTTTTAAGAAATTTTAAAGTTCTTAAGTGCAATATTAATGAAAAAAGGTTATGTATTTTAATAAAAAAAAAAAAAAATAAATATATTTAGCGGTAGGCTGAACTTTTACTATTTCCGATACAATCTCGTCCGCACTTTACTATTCGCTGCTTTGGGTAACATAACGTCAAAGTTTTTCTTGACAAATATTGAGTTAACTATACATAAACCGTTTAAAGAGAATCTCAACCTAATAAGTCTCGCTAAGCTGTCAGCTTGCAGACAACAAGATGGCCACTTAGCCTTGTCTCATAGAGAAAAAAAAACAAGGATAATAAAAGTAAATAGTAATGGGGGGAGGGGGACGGGGACGGGAAAAACAAATTTCGCACAGACTGCAGTTTTGCTTTTTATTTTTCTTTTTGTTTTTTTTTTTCTTTTTCTCGACTTTGTATACACTGTTGGGAATACATTTCACTTGACTTGACATGACGGAGAGTTGATTTTTGCCGGCCAACTGACTGCCTTGGCTCCATTTTGTCTATGTACCATGAACTTTTGGCGGTAGTCAAACAAATGTCGCTCTGCAACATTTAATCTTTCTCAGAGACTCTAGTTTGTTGTTCTTGTTGCTGCTGTTGTTTTTCAATCTCTATCTCGCTATTTCTTTTGCTTTCTTTTCGTCTCCTTTTTTTAATCACTATCTACGATAGATAGACAAGCAATTGCAATGATAAACTCACTTTGTAACTGATTTTTGTTCAACATGTGCATGAAAAACAATTTTAATTGACATCATTTTCAAAATAATAGCAATTTTTAATGATTGTAATGTGTTCAACGTTTATTGGTACATTGCTTGGATATGAAAACAAAAAACAAAAAAAAAAACAAAAAAAAAAAATGAAAAACATCATTCAGATGTGATAAATAAATGCAAAAAAAAAAAAGAGATAAAACGTCAGATTTACTTAAAACAGGTTCCAGGCGAACACAGTCGTTCTTACAATGGGTATCCATTGTCAGATATGTGGAAGGGACGAGCTATATACATATCGTGTTAATTGGGGGATAGTGAATAGATTTCCTAATCTTTTTTTCTTTGTCTGTCCGTTAGTTACCCAACCATTTTCGTCTGCTTATCAACTAGAAGAAAAGATTGTGGTTCTTGATAAACTCCTATCGCAACGCTCTCACAGCCATCGCTGTTGAAGAGAGGAATTTCAACGTCCTGCAAAATTTTTTTTTTTTTTTAGGATCTGAAAAGGGCCCTAAACCTGGAGCAGCAGAACTTGTCCCGCAAGTGTTGGCTCTAGAAAAAGTTCTTACATGAACTTAACACCATTGTGACGACGGACCTATCCAGGTCCATAACAGTCATCCTATCCTATTCTATCATAAGTCTCATTAGCGCCTTTGTCAAAAGATATCCGACTGGATGACTGCACTTTACATAAATTCTCGTTAGTTTTTGATCAACGGCTTGATTAAACAACTCTGACGATTTATTGAAACCCTTTTTAACGAGGTACCAATGACAACAAAAAAAATTAAAAAAAGATGAGTTTACTTTTTAATTTTCTTTTTTCATTTCTTTTCATTTCTTTATTTCTTTTTTTAAATCTTTTTTATTGTTGACCAAAACAATCAATGTTAAGGTTGTGCCATTACAGTTATTATTTTCAAAAGTTTTGCTTCTATGCTAAAGGCTGTATACATGATGCACACACATACAATGTAAATTCAATTATTTATTGTCTGGTGTTTTAATGATTTTATAAATCATTAATTTTTTATTTTTGCATTACTGTTAAGAGTTTTTTTTTTGTAAAGCTCATAGGATCCTTTTCAATTATTTCTCTATAAAATCTCAACAAACAATTTATATTTAAATCATGATTATAAAATAATAATAAATAATTGCTAGGCAGACAGTAAAATCTCTTATTTGTTTTTATGATGCACACACACACACACATACACCGGCATTGCATAATAAATGTCTTTGGAAAAATAATTTTTCTTTCTTTGGGAAAATTTTAGAAAGTTGTTGCCGGTGTATGCACGCAAGTTTTTTTTTTTTTTTTTTTTTTTTTTTGTAGATAACATTAAACATATGTTTCACTTTTCTTTCTCAAAAATATTATTGATTAAATGTAATTCACAACGTAATAATTTTAAAATGTATTTTTAAATCAAAAGGTTAAATTTTTTACAAAAGCAAAAAACGGCAACTTTAACCTTGAAAAACAGGAATAAACTTTAATGGGTATTTTTTTTATAAGCACCTTCGAAGCAAGGGGTTATGTTAAGTTTCTTATACAGTTTGTAAAAGATCCGTCAAAATACGAATAGTGTTCATCAGATTAGCTATGTATAGCAGTTACGCCCAATCGCTAGTGTTGGCACATTTTCGGGTTTTGCAAACTCGGAAGTTCTATCCTTTAGTATTAAGTCAGATGGAAATACCTGAACTTCATGTAACACTGACGCGGTGCTACATTAGTCCTTTGCGCTGTCTTGCGCTTGTGTTGCTTCTCAGGCTTTACGATTTCTCATTGATTGATCGCGAAAATATAAATCACTGGTAATATTGAAAATTTCATCTTTATTTCCAATTCTGTAAAAAAATTTTCCTTCGAATTAGTAAGATCCACGCTACCTTTTATATCGTTTTAGAACTTATAAGATCGCAAAGATTTATCTACGAAGCCAAAACACATTGCATCTCCGAAATTTGCATTGTTTAGTAACATGGATAACTTTGTCGAATTAGTCCTGTCCGGCCGTCCGTACTTAGCTCTAAATATGAATATATCTACAAATCTACAACCGATTGCCACATTGAAAAGTGCGCCTTGGATGAGCATCAGATCTTAAGTCGATTTAGTAATGTCCCTAAAGACTAGTTAAAGCCGAGTATTTCTACCTTAAACTAGCTTTTATGTACCAAATTTGAAAAAACTCTTCAAACATTCTTTTGCAAATATCTTCAAAAATAATTTTATTAAAGAGTTATAACGATTTTCGTCTCCAATACTCAACAAAGCTAATATCCGATAAAATTTCTGCCAGACTGAACAACTAGTTTAATGTATTACACCTTGGATGCGAGCTGAAAACGAATTTAATTAATTTATGTGACAATGTTTAAATATTTATTTCATTACATTTTTGTTTTTTTTTTTCAGGGATAATTTTGTACATAGCTGAAGCGTTAAGGTCTTATTAAAGCATTAATAGTCGCCGCCTAGTGTTGTTGTTGGTTTTTATCTATAAAAATACAAAATTTAGTTTCTCTTATGTTAACAACTGTGCACAGTATTTCCAAAGCTTGCGATTTATTGTTCCTTATTATCTTTCCTAGTTCATAAAAGTTAGTCGAATCGCTTCTCGGCAATAGTGAAATTAAACTTATTTTAAAAATCTTCCACTCGTCTCCCACACTTATCAGCGTATATTCGTTTAAGCAATCATTTATCCGATTATTGAAATATTTTTTTTTTTGTCCTCATTCGCAGTGTATCCAAATTTCGTGTCGAAATTTCGACGTCTACTGAACGTAACTAGATTTGTAAACTTACGGTTTTTTTTTTTTTATGTACGTTTTTTATAAATATATTTAATGTTGTTTTATTCAACATTTTCTCCAACATGACCTCGACATTGGCATTTATTTTTACCGTTTTTTTTAATTGCTTATTTTATATTATTATTAATATTATATACAACTTCGCTCTCTGCGGTTTGTAAATATTTCTTAAATAATGTTGTTTTTGTCCATTTTTAGGTTACACATCGTACTACTGGACAAGTTATGGTTTTAAAAATGAATCAATTACGAGCAAATCGACCAAATATGTTACGAGAAGTGCAACTTCTAAATAAATTATCGCATCCAAATATATTAAGGTAAGCAGGTGGTGAAATTTATTTAATTAATTAAATTATTATCGCAAGACCAAATATAAATATTTTGTATGCGTCATCCAGTTAATAAGTACAAAAATTATTTTATTTTCAATGCAATTCATTAAAATTTTGTAAAATCATTTTATTACGCAATTCACTTTTCAATTACCGCATAAAGAGTAAATAAGTTTTTTGACTTTATATCCCCTTATGTTGTGACTTATAAAAAGATCGTATGATTTTCAGCTTGTGTCATAATGCAGTTCCAAGTAAATACGTAGGTCAATAATTCCTGAGACTGAATAAGAAAATATTGTTTTATTCGTCTGATCAATGTGGTCATCTTCAGCAGAGACATTATCATTTCAACGCTTTCAACGATTTTTCAAAAGTCTCAAACTGCGTTCCACTTTTCCCAATCGCCTCATTACGTGATTTAAATCTTTTCTCCTAGAGAATGCTTTTGAAATTTGCAAGCAAATAATGGTCGCAACCACGCGAGTTGTCATTAGGTTTTCTTGTCCGACCACGCGGGAGTAAACGCTACACCCAATTGGAAAACCAGTTTCTCTCGTAAAGGGTTTTCGTTTAACTCAGCAGCATTTTTTCTTACTCTTAACTGATTGTTCATTATTAGATTTAGATTTCAAATACAATTCCTTATTTCCTCGATTCCCCAATTACATATCGAATAATGAGGTTACAACTAGGTTAGGCAATAATAATAATAGTAGTAGTAGTAGTAGTGGGAGTAGTACTAGTAGTAACTACAGTTGTCAAATCTTAAATCTTCGGTGGTCTAAATTTCGTGGATTCTCTTTATTCATTTAATTTATACTTATGCGCGCAGACCTAATTATAGAACCATTTAAATCTGATGCATTAACGCCGATTTTGTAGCTTTATTTTATCATTAATATATTATTCTTAATAATTTTTCTTCGAGCCGGCCGAGAATTTTTAAAGGAAACTGTTGTTGTTTTATTGTCGGGAGTATATAAAATAAAAAAATTAGAAATTATTGTATTAGGTGTTTGCAAAAATTTTGATCACTTTTTCACTTGAATATGGTAGTGATTGTTTGGTTTGGCAGCGATCCATCCACCGCCATGCTGCACCGATCTGAACAAGTGGTAATCAGGAAACGTCTGATGAATACGCTGAGGAGTATGGCAGAACTTTGAGCTGCAACAGTGTATCATGGACAAGTCTTGCAACAAGTGGCCAAAAAATGGCACTTTTAGCCAATTCGTGTCGCTAAACCGTTGAAACCAAATCCGGCTATTGGAATATGATGGAGCAAGTGGAGGGTTAACACGACACAAATAAGCGGACAGACAAACGAATAGATAAACAGACAAGCTAAGATCGATTGTGCACGTTCACACAAACTTAAGATACCGTTGTATCAGAAATGGTGTGAGATATAAAAAGAAAATGTTATTATGTGCAATGCTTTTTTGCTCGCATTGTCGAATCATTTTACTCAAATAAATCTTGTATAATGCAGTTGGGAGGAGGGAGCTTAAAACAGATAATAGCCATTTCATGGTTCAAATTTTTTTAAGACGTAAGATTCATTACACTGTTGGACTGTTAGCTGTTACGAACGTGCTAAACCATTTATTGAATCAATTGTTGTAAAACTTTTATTTTGTACATCGCGATAATTCTTTTAAGAG